GACAAAAAAGTAAAAGTAATAGCAATCGATTTTTCAGGTTTCATCAATTGTTTCCACCTGCCCGTTGGAAGAGCTACCCTTAAAACCGTTGGAGGACGAGTACCCATTCGGACAACTCTCATTTGAAAACTTGTCTCGCTCCTCGTTGGCTGCTTGCCATACTTCTCTTTCTAACAACACTCCTACGTAAGATGAATAATGATCAACATAATTCCCAAGTTTATTCAATCTTAAAATCCTACCATCAACCTCTGAACTGTTGATCCCGATATCTCAAGTTTCAGATTTATTACGACATTGCTAGAATATTCCACAACGTTTTGGCTGGTGTTACTTCTACATTGATTGGATATTCTACTTCTGGAATCTTGTATGCTAAAGATAAAAGAAGTTGATAAATTGGTCGGATGTATGTAATTTTATTGTTATCTATTGCAGATGATGTTTTTCTTTTATGTGAGAAAGCTTGTATGCAACGAAAATTCTGGATGAATGTTAAGAAAGAAATTTTTTAGATGAAAATGAAATAATAATTGAACTTTTAGAGAATAAAAAACAGTTGAAATTTTGGTATGTCAAATGTTATGTGATGTAATACAAAAGGTGTGATTAGTTATTTTTTATTATGAGAATCTTGATCTATTTAACTATTTTTGATGTTTAAGTAATTTTTTTTTAATATTTTTAACAACTATACTATGAAATGTATTATGTGAAGCTTAGAAAATATGATATGTAAAGTGAATGCACTTTATAAAGATGATATATTTTGTAAATTTTCCTTAAAATTTTTGACTAACTAGAAGTTTACTGCCTATAGCTTCTACTTTAAATCTTCTTGATTAGAGCCATGTTTACGCAGATCAGGAATAAAAAACCAGGTTTGAGGCACCGACCTAGCAGTGGTCGATGACAGAATGGTACAAAAAAATCAAAGTCATAACTATCCTTAACAAAACATATAAAACGGTATATGCTGTCAAACAAACCAAAAGGGTTCGCCTCTCCTTGGAGCGGCCCATAGCCAATGGCTCATTTGCTTCTTGGAGAGTTGGGATAAGACTCAGGGCCTGTTAGGTAGTGATTTTGATAATTGATTTTTTGATTGTTAAAAAAAAGTTGGGGTACTTGTGAGAGAAAAAGTCAAAAATTACGGCTATAATAGTGAAATAACAGTCAAAAAATCAATTTTTTGGGGGGGTTGAAAAATCACTCCCAAACGGGGCATCAATCAACATATGATTTATACATCTCATATTTCGTGTTTATAGGTAAAGATAAAAAAGAACAAAACTATAAAATTAATAAATTATAAGAGGAGATTAGGACTGGGCAAAAAATCCTCCTTTTCGATAAACCAATCTGATCAAACCTACTTTGATCGAATTTCATAAGCTTCACGATTTTGATTGGTTATTGTGTAACCCAAACCAAATTTCATCAAATAGCAGATTAAACATCCAACCCTATTCGATTCAACCCAAACTAACCTATATGTAATATTTATGCTTCTATGACTTGCAAACTTGAGAATTGCACAACATCAAATATTGAATTTGATGTGTAAAATCGAGTTTCGCACAAGAAGCTTGATATTTGATGCTAGGCAAATCTCGAGTTTGTTTTGTGAAATCTCAAACTTGTTGTGTAAATCTCATGTTTAAAGTTAGACGGTTTGAATTGGTTTAATTTTCTATGACTTGATTGGATCAATTTGGCTTGAATTCACCCAAGTTGACTTGGATGGATTCAATTGTGCCCAAAATCGACCTAACCCGGTCCACGTTGAACCCTACCGAGAGAATACAAAACATTCAATCTTGAATCCAAAAACTTTATGCTATACAAGTTAAAGAAAATTCGAGATTTCTGTACAAATTGAGATAAGAATAATACAAAGATGACTCTTATTCATCGATGTTAAAAACAAAAGTATTTCAATTCCCACTTAAGACAAAATTTGAATGCACTTAAAATGTGAATCATAAGTTCAGAGTCTTGCAAAATATTTTGCACAACTTCTATATATATTTGCTAAAAGACAGTTTATATACAGAAATACATCATGTTCCACTAATCTCCATGCAACTACAAAGTAACAACTCCACTACATTAACAAGACACTCGTACTGAATAGGGCTACAACAAAAGGTCTCAAACAAGTTGCATTAAGGATATCTAATGCCTTTTTTAACTAATTTACGAGGCTCAAACGGGAGAAGCAGATGCATTGAATTCAAATTTATCAGACGATGAATCAATTCGCGTGAATGGCGAAAAAACCTCCATTTGATGCATGAACTGCACATCATGAACCAATGGATTATCTGTCCTTCCTGGTGGAGATCCCGAGTAACACGAGGGGGAGCACCCGGTGCACATACATCCTCGTGCATGTGTTGTCTATATGCGAGCATTGACATAAAATCAATATACATGTTCAAAAAGAGCGTCACATATACTAAGTCAAGCGAAGTTAGGATTGTAGAGTTGTGGGGACAAATTTCTATAACTAAAATCGTGGGGACAATATCTTAAATTACAAAATTTTAATTGTGAGGGCAAATCCGATAACTATAAGGAATTTAAAATAAGATCTAATGGATTTCAAATCGAGGGCAGAGGCAGCCGGACTAAATCCGCCCTGAGTCCAGAGTTGATAAGGAACGTGAGCATCAATCTCAAGCTCGATAATCAAAATCAACATGGAAATAGAAAGAACCTTTTCAGCAAGTATATATAGAACTCCACTTCTTGCATCCGAATTCAGCTTACTGATCATTACATGCATAAACAAATAAGATTAAAGAAAAAAAAAACTTATAATTACCAAGAAATTAAGTTTGATTTACTCATTAATTAACCTGTTCTTGCTGCATTTGAGAGGATTAAGGTGTTCAGGCAGGGCCGACCCGAGCCGACGAGGTTTAGGACAAAGAGGGGTGGAATCACTGCCTTTAAAACCTAGTTTGGTTGTCTCTGCATTTGTATCAATAAGGTTGTTTTTAACTGTAAAATGATGCATCAGGCTGGGGGAAAACTCACAAATGTGAAGAATAATAATTTGTAATTGTTTTTTTGTAAAATTACTTATAATTTATTTATAAGTGATTGAAATGGCAATGCCTTTTGTAATGCATTTGCATGGCTGAGATTAGTCGCATGATTTCCTAACTTTCCTCTAATTCTTATCTTGCCTATTTTTCATTTGGTCCAAGTAATTGGGTTTTAATTTTATTTTTACTTTTTTTTAATAGTTATTTGATGATAAAAAAAAAAAAGACTAGAAAGTGTTTTCTTTCGAGTTTTTGTATTCGATCAATCAAATATTAAACACATAGTACTACCTAACATAATTTTAATATACATACTTGGAAAGTCCCCCAGGACATAATTCAGTGGTGCAAAGGGTAGGAGTGATGTAGTCTCAGCCTTGCTGGCAGCCGTAGTATGAGGGTTCGATTCGTGAGATATGAAATTGAACTATTTGTGGGTATCAGTGTACGAGCAAACTCTTATTCTCTAACTTACTAGGGCATATCCCATAATTTAACTCTCTCATGATACTTTAGGGGCAGAACAATGAGGGCCCTCAAACTTAGGGTTCAACCTTTAATATACATACTTGGAAAAGACTTGCAATTAATGAGGAAAAAATAATAAGAAATATTTCATTACTTTTTCTTTGTTCTTGTAAATTCCATTAAAGTATGTTTAGGCCCTATTGATGTAAATTTTTTGTTAATATCTTTTTTGAAAAGTAATTTTTTTGGAGAACATATGATTAAAAATTAAAAAAGAAAAAGAAAAAGAAATTATGGATGCACATTCAAAATTATTTTATTGAGAGAATGAGTGATTGAAAATAAATTTTAAAGATTTATCGCTTACAATTCTGGCATCAATAGACTTCATTCTCCTTTAAGTATTATCAAGTAAAGGATGAAGGTAAGAAAAGACACGTTTGTTTTCAAAATGAGAATATATTTCAACTTTTGAATAGCGACTCAAACAATAGAAGAAATACCCTTTACCATTTTTTGTAGGAAACTTGGTGAGAAGTAGTTTGCAAAGCATAAGGAGAAATTTCTAATTATATTTTTCAAATACAACATATTGGCGCTATTCACATGGATTTACAAAAAATTGAGTGGCAAGAAGAAAGGGGTAGGAATTAGAGTTCAGCTCCAAGAAACCACTGCAGGACTACCATCCTAGGTTTTGCAAGGAGCAAGTGAACGATGGTTTATGCTAAGTTAAATGTGGCAATTGCTACCTTGAGAGAAGGTTGGGGAAGCAAAAACTTTCCCAAGAAGAAGCCATTCCCAGTGAAATTTTACTAGAAAAAGTTGAGGAAAATAAGGAGAAAATGTATCGCCTCATCCCCAAGGCCACAATAAGAAACGAGGCAACTCAAAGAAAAAAAATTGTAACAACCCATCACTATTGACAATATTAGAATCCAATAAATATTTTCTAATGAGATATCTAGAGCACCTCCCTAAAGGGTAAACAAACTGCATTTATACACAATAAATCATTAAGAGTATTTAGATATACGAAAATGCCTCTTGTCCAGGCCAAAAAACAGGGTGCCGAGGTGTTTCCACCTTGGCCGTCGGATCTGGAAAAAAAAAATGTGCCACCTCAGCCCCCTGTTTTTTACCCTGTTTCTGAGCCTGGCTCAGAAGCAGAACTCTTAGATATATTCGATAATAATGTGTTGTTGTTTGGATTCTCAATGTTGAAAAAATTCGAACCAGGTGCAATGAAAATGAAAAAACACAAAAACGAACAAGAATGATGACACGAATTAAATGTGATTCAGCAAACTACCGACAACAAGAAGAAGAAAATTCTTTATTAGCTGTTAAAATCACACGATACAATATTTTTTCTATAAGAAGCTAAGAATTAATTATATTTATATAAATAAATAAGATGGTATACATGAACCTTTTAATCTTGAACATTTTTCTTTCATGCTCTATAATAAAAAAAAAAAAAAAACTAATAAAAAGGACAAATTGGTATCAAAATTGGTCATCCGTCAACCTCATTCTTACTGGTTAAAGGGAGCGGTTCAACGGCAGTATTTCCCGGCTAAATAGGTACCTATTCATCGCACATGTGTACAACACGTATTTTCTCTCTCCCATTAATTTCTCTTTCTATCACTTCATCACGCTCCTCCATTTTTCTCCCACTACCAATTCCGTTCTATTCTTCTCGACCTTTCAGAATTTCACCCCCAAATATCCAATTAGGGTTAGGGTTTCGCTCAAAAAGTACCTGGTTTCTTGTTTATGTGTTGTTTGCAGGTTTTCTGATGCCACACTTGAATTGAAGGGACCCGCAGTACATTGTGTACGTAAATAGTATTGAACTTGTTAGCTGATCAGGTCTTCTGGAGAAGATCTGAGAGCGGAATTTGTGAAAATAAAAATGAGCGCTTCGAGATTCATAAAGTGCGTCACGGTGGGTGATGGTGCGGTTGGCAAGACCTGTCTTTTGATTTCCTACACCAGCAATACCTTCCCCACGGTCTGTCTCATTTTATTTCTTTGTTGTGATATTCGAAATTGGCATTTTTAGGCTAAATCTTGTTATTAGTTTGTGGCACGTTTTGAAAATGTTTGCGACATTTGGATCTTTTGCTTTTTGTTAAATGTTTTTTTCTTTTGGGAATTGTTGTTGCGTTTTCGTATCTTGACGACTATGGGATTCTTCTTTTCTTTTGGAGTTGAGATGAATATATCTTTTAATGTTGCATTTTCATTCATTGACAGCTGAGAAATTTTCATCTCATGGAAGAATTTCTAGAATTTCTGGTATACATATCAAGAAAAAATAAGAAGTCAAAGAAAAGAACACGTTTCTATATAATTTATTTGGTTTATCAGTATCATGCATCTCTTGTGCAGATTACGTGTGATGAAAATGAAAAAGAATGTCATCTGTAATTATTTGATTTATACGGAATTTTGTCATCTATGTATTTGCTTTTGTTTATGGAGTAAATTGATTTCCGCAAAATTCACTATATCTGATAAAAATGTTCCCTTTTGTCTTGACTTTTTCGTTTCTATTGCAATATAAAAAAGAAACTATTTTATGGGACGACAAATTGTTCTAAACAATGAATAAATAATGTAGCAACTCCAAACAAAAGATATATTTCTCAACCCCAAAGAGAGAACAGAAGAAAAAGACCCGCAACAATACCCCTCTCCTGTTTATTTAACGAACTGATTTACTCTACATATATTCTGTTAACTTTCTGTAAATGCCAATGTGGAAATAAGAGCCTTTTTGTTGATAATAATGATTTTTACAATTGAAGAATTCTATAATTGTTTCATTTTTTGTTTCCAATATGAACTTTTCCATCTTTTCTTGTCCCGTTTTCTGTTTCTCAGCTGTGCAACAACTATATCATTTTTCTGCATTATTTAAGGGCTCTTCTCTTATTGGAATAGTTGCTGATGTGGTGATTGTCATGTTATCATGCTTCGTCTCTGTATTTTTAACTTTCTTGGATTTGTTGTTGTTCGCTGATCTTCTGTTAAATTTGAATATGATAACTCCTATTCTTTCCTAAATGAGTTATCTATTTTAACTTCTCGTGTATTTCTAAATGAAACAGGACTATGTGCCTACTGTATTTGATAATTTCAGTGCCAATGTTGTCGTCAATGGAAGCACTGTTAACCTAGGCCTGTGGGATACCGCTGGTAGGTGACCGCTAAAATTATATTTCATGATTTCTATACTGTCAAGCTTTTTGAATCTGTGCATGCTCTGCATATGCAAAATTTGATCTTAATCTATTATAGTCCTCCATACTATATGTTTCTTATTTGATCTATATATTTTTATTCATGCACCAGAAGTGTAATTCAATAAGAGGAAGAGATTGTGGATCTTTTATTCTTCATTTGTTTATAATTATTAGAGGTTGCGCAAAAGTTCTTTATTCTTCATTGTCTAATTCAAAATTAGATCTTAATTCATATTTATCTCTGAAACAGGACAGGAGGACTATAATAGATTAAGACCTTTGAGTTACCGCGGAGCTGATGTTTTCATTTTGGCATTTTCTCTCATTAGCAAGGCTAGCTATGAAAATGTTTCCAAGAAGGTGAGAGTTGATGGCGTTAGAAACCTTTTTTTCCCTTTTGGTTCCTACTTTCTTACTATGTTTTGCAATACTTTATACTGGTTTGATAACTCTCTTATGCTTTTGTTCATTTTTCAGTGGATTCCTGAGTTGAAGCATTATGCTCCTGGTGTCCCTATAGTTCTTGTTGGAACAAAACTCGGTGAGCTATATGAGTGAATTTATTTCTTTTATCTAGTGAACAATATCTGCATGATGTGTTGTTGAAATATTATGTTATATACTTTATCTTATTCGAAGGAAACAATCCATTGTAAATGGGGAATGTTTCCCCCAACCCCAACAGCCAGAGGACTTGGTAACTGTGGTAATGGAGAGGCTTTATATACACAAACGCCGTGTCTGCCAAAAATGCTTTGACCTGCTGGTCCTATTTATTTCTAATAGATATTATATGTTTGAATGAAACGAAACAACATGATGAAAGTAATAAGAATCAATTTATCATTGCCATTTTTATAATCGTTGTCATTGCCCCTTGTACTTCTTCATAGATTTTCATCATGTGACTTCGTAAATGATATATTCCATACTATATTTTTCTTTTTTGGTCTATATATTTAGGAGGAAGAGATTCTGGATCTTCAATTCTTCATTTGTCTCTAAGTATTGTAGGTTGTGCACACGTTTTTTGTGTGCTGGCCCTTGATATAGAATTCTTGCATGAATTCTCTATTTTTATGTGATTTCCACCTAAATTTTTCTCTATAAACCTTGTACACATAATTTATGATTATAATAATGATGTTTCTATCTGATGGATTCAGATCTTCGAGATGACAAACAATTCTTTGTTGACCATCCTGGTGCTGTACCAATCACTACAGCTCAGGTGAAGTCTGATGACTACATTTATGATGTTCAATAGGATAAGAGTTTGCTTTCATTCTAAACATTTCATATGCCTCTTCCAACTTGCAGGGGGATGAGCTCAGAAAAATGATTGGGGCTCCTGCTTATATTGAATGTAGTTCAAAAACACAGCTGGTACGTATGCGAGGATGTCTCATATCATGTTTCCTTTTCCCCCCCCCCCCGAAAGACTTTATAAGCCTCAAATTGAAATTTCTTGAAACATGCTCACTGCAGAATGTGAAAGGAGTTTTTGACGCTGCAATAAAGGTTGTGCTCCAGCCACCAAAGCAGAAGAAAAAGAAGGGAAGGGCTCAAAAGGCCTGCTCTATATTGTGAGGATACCATGGTGCATCGTAATTGTATTCCTCTCCCTTACCTCTTTTTATCTTCCTTTGCCTCGTAGGAAGTGGGAGGTCGTCTTCTATGTTAAAATGTCGGTGACTTGGTCACCTTGTAGTACTCTTGGTATCGATTGTCGAGTCAAACTGTAGCTACTTTGTTGCTCTTGGTATCAATTGTTGGTGTCTCAGTTTTTTATTTTTATGCATTCATGGAACAAAAATTCCTTTTTGAACACATTTGCCTTGCGACGTTGTCTTATATTATTTAGTTCTTATGAATGTCAAAGCAAAATACATGGTGCAATTCCATTTGTTACACAGTTCGTGAGCTCTGTTTTTGGCTATTCTGTGCTGAGTGATGGTATAGTTTCTGTAGATGGTTGTGTTGGGGCATTATTATGTTTTCTAATTTAACTGGTAAAAGATTTTAGGGGTCAATGAATGTACCTTAAAATTAAGGTTCTAATGGGTTTGTTGAACTTCATCTTGTCGTACCTATCAATTTATACGTTTTATTTCAATAAAGACACTGCATCCAACTCTGATTCTACGATAGTGTTTCTGTTTGACAAGCTAATGGACTTCTGATCGGAACAAAATTATAAACTTATCTATTTGTGACAGAAGAAGTTCCATAATACACTGAAAATTGAAATTGAGGCATACATTCAATGGCCCTCAAAATTTTGAACTGAACTTAGTTGTTTGATGGTATATGTTAAGCAGGACCATTCTTGTGTGACAAACCCGCCTGGTTGTCCAGGGGGTATGTGGCACTCCCCTTCCAGGGGGTTTAGGCCCAAGCAGAAAGGGTCGCGATGGTAGATTCTTGATCTGGATGGGGGGAGGGGCACATACCCCCCTGGACAGCCAGGGGATTGTCCAAGGGGTTTAATAAGCCCAAGCAAAAAGGGTCGCGATGGCAGATTCTTGATATGGATGGGGAGAGGAGCACATGCCCCGCTGGACAGCCAGGGGGTTGTCCAAGGGGTTTAAGCCCAAGCAGAAAGGGTCACGTTGGCAGATTCTTGATCTGGTTTTTCATTATCTGGCCTCTGATTCTTTCTGCATTGTGCCTGTTATATCGGCAATGTATTTAAAGATTTTCATCATCAGAATATTTGTGAATAGAATATTCCTCTTAAGTTGGTGGTGATCCTCTTATTCTCTACGAGCATGACATTACCCATAATTGCCGGCGTTGTCATCTTATTATTCTAAAATATTTACAGACTTAGATGGATTTTTTTCGAATACATAAAATCCCTGGTTCGCCGTGCATTCAGTTTGAGTTGGCAACGAAAAATTTGATAAAGAATATCCTTGCTTTTACATCTATCGCATGAAAGTTGGCCGACTTCATGATATAGTCCCGATTTGATTTAGATAAAAGTCAAATATTTAGTAAATTTTAATAAAAGTTGATTGAATATATGGTCGAAAAGTTGTAAATCAAATGAGGGCTTTGTTCACAATCCAAGAGCTCAACATATATAATTTCTAAGCTATTCGAGCAAATAGTATGTACGGCTATACTATGTTGATTAATCCGGCACATATTTCTCGGATTTTTTGCTTTCATACCCAGCACCGTCGGTGCATTGCCCGTGGTTCCTATAACCGCCATCTTCAAACGCCGCCTCTCAAGTTGTGTTGGGGAAGTATCAATTTATCATATAGAAAATGCTTCAAGTACAAGGGGGAGCTTCACAGGGATGGCCGGGGCACACAAATGAGTGGGGCCCGCGCGTGCAGTTTTTCTTCTTTTTTTTTTTTATTAAAAAACATGTGGGATCGGGGAGCTTCACAGGGATGGCCAGGGAACACAAATGAGTGGGGCCCGCGCGTGCAGTTTTTTTTTTTATTAAAAAACATGTGGGATCCGCTGCTACAGTGAGGAGTCCTTGTATGAACAGTCCCATGTCCTTGGGACTTTTTTTTTTTCTATCGTATCTAATCCACTATTGTCAATAGTTAATTATTATAGAAGTATCGGTTGACACAGTCACATGCAAATCTTGGGATTATCATCATTGAAATCATGTACTTAATCTCTGCCAAAGTCGCTCAATAAACCCTAGAATTTCACAATCGAGCAACATAATAACGATGTCCATTAATTTACAATGAACTACCATTATTCGATAGTATATTTAGTTAAATTGGATTAAAGAAGACCCTAAGACCTAATACGTCAACACTGAGTGTTGCCCAGCCTACACGAAACATGCAGGCACCTTCTCAATACATAACCAGAAAAGCATTGAAATTATCATCATTGAAATCCCTAAGTTGTACTTAAGCGATGAAGAAGGAGCTCAACTAAACCCTAAATTTACATTATCGAAGAGCATAATAACGTCCATTAATTTACAATGATCTACTACTAGATAAAATATGACTCATCTAATATACATAGCTAAATTCTAGCATTGTCCAATCCATCAGGCTGAACATACATGCAACTCCTACTTACATAACAACACAAGCGTTGGTATTCTCATCACTAAAAGCCGTCAGGTACCTCACTTCTTCGGAAGAAGCTCGTGCGAGGCTCGAAGGCTGAGGATTGTCGTAGATATTACGCACATACCCGGACGGCGCCTTCTTGTCGTAGACCCCGGGGGCATAAGGATGTGGCACCATATCAAAGGGCACAAAAGGCCACATATCAGCTCTCTTACCAGTACGATGCCGGACTCTGTGCAACACTTTATCAGGATCAACATGACCAATAACAGTAAGTTTTTGCATTTTTGGGTCAACTAATGCTTGTGTCACCCCTCTCATGTGTTGAACTGATTTTCTCACTCTCCTCTCACACCCTTCACAGTCCATTTTTATCCTTATTTCTACTGTCTGCAGATAGCAAAAAGTAAAAATATATAGTTAATATGTAGCAGCCATAACTAAGACAAGCCAACCTAATGAAACAGAAAAGAAAAGGAACTTATACCAAAAAAAAAAAGCAGGCAAAAGTAAGTACCCGGAGAGGCTTCTTTTTAAGTTTCTTGAGCTTCCTTCTGTCACCCCAAGAAGATTCAATATAATTTGAGAATCTGTCCAAAAACCCCATTCTTGCTTAATAGTATTGCCAAATTTAATTGAGCAGTCTTTATTGAAGCCACTCCTCTATATGTACATATATATAATTAGTGGGGATTAATCTAAATTCAGCAATTTAATGATGCCGCCATTGAAATTTAAATACATGATAACTATAACAGATGTAGGTGTAAATTGCCGCCACGTATCAAAGCCATTACTCCAGGGTAGTGACGGTAGTCCAATGTTTTTCAAACAAGATAATTACACAACAATATTAATAGTTCGTTTGCACGACCCTTTTTGACTTCTCAAAAGTTTTGTCGAACTCGTCTTAAAAAAAAAAAAAAAGGGTTTACACGATCCACTTCAAACCTAACTTTGACACTCCTATTATCATAAGATGAGAACAGACATGAAAAGTTATATCGAAATAAGTCTTGTGTGTCAATCAGACAAATACTTAAATTAATTTCTATACTTCTATTTATTTGTGAGTTTGGAATGTATTTCTTATTTTGATTACTAATGAAAAATAAATTAAATACAACTAAAATTATCTAATAAAACTACAAAACTAAAAAACACCAAAAGAAGAATTTGATCTCAATAGATAATTATGGTATGAATTTATACAGAATAAATTTGGCACTCAACTCCACAGATCATATTATCATGACAAGAAATTTTCGTCCATAAATGCATTTCTCTTCATGGGCAGTCCAATTAAACCCAAAGAAGTTAAATCCATTGGGTAAAAATTAAAATTAAAGTCAACAATTAATTTTTATTACATATTTCGTGAGACTTGTAACTTTTAACAATACATTTAATCCATTTTTATTAAAAATTGTTAAAATCTAATTTTAATCTCCACAAAAAAGGGGGGCAAAGTAACATTCTATTCACCCGCTACTATACTTCAAAATGTAAAGGCGCCTAATTTCTTAAATAGGTAGGAAATACGCTAGGAACATCTCCAATGCATTCATTTAGGTATGATGTTAATTGAAGACATTTGGTCAATATAACATCGATATTTAGCCGTTGTTTGATTTAGATAAAAATATAAGCTGGAAATCACATAATGGATGAATAGGGAGGAAATTATCCATGATTATGAGTTAATATCCAAAATCCAATAGCCTCCACTAATCCCCAAGCCTTAGCCCCTATCTTCACAACGATGGGTTTTTATTTTGCCAGATAATTAGATAAGGTGTGAAGGAGCTAGACAAGTATTTCTTGTAAGGATAAATACTAAGTTTTAATTTTATTTATTTATTTTTTCGGTAACAAACATAGAAATAAAATAAAAAACCCGAAAATTCCGAAAAAAAAAAAAAAAACATGTAGGGGCCAGTACCTCACATGAACCGTCGTAGATCCGCCAATGCATATACTGCGATATTATCCCCCTATAGAAAAATTTCATGTGGATATTGATAATGGCATTGCAAAATTAAAGTTCAACAACATACTTATGGGCGGTAGGACTTGGATAATGTTAATAGTCGTGGTTGGCAAATGATAAAGGAGAGCTCCAATTAAAATAAAACATGAAATAATCATGAAGATGACAGTGATTATCAATAATCAAAGAAATAATCAACAATTCAAAGAATACTAAATGCTTAGCTAAGCATGATAACATATTAGTGTCCAACAAAACATGGTTTTAACCAATTGGAACAGATTTTCCATGTCAAGCGTTATATTTAGAAATTTTATTAATAAATCAACGGAGAGTGAGTCTAAACAGCTGTAATACAATAAAATTGGGCAATGTAAATATTAATTTACTGCGGTAAATACACTTTCATTGTTGTTCAATTCGATACTTGCACTTCAATTTTGTTCAATCAGATTTATAGTGATTTCAATCGAATATTGATCCTTTAACTTGATTTTAATTGGGTATCAATACTTTAATTTGATTTTAATTAAGAAAAATTTTCAACATAAGGATTTTTTTTTTTAAAATGAAAAAAAAAAATGCATCTTTCTGTAATCGTTACTCATAATGTATGGTTTGTTTAGCGACAGCATGTGCAAATCTATCATCACGAATTTGTAACACATTTTTTATGATACGGTCCCACAACACCTTATGATAGATATAGAGTTTGTTCGATAGTGATTATGATAATAATTTTTTGATCATTACAAACAAAAGTAGGTCCCGCTTGTGAGAGGAGAAGTAACAAATGACAGCTAGAATAGGAAAATAACAGTCAAAAAATTATTTTTTTGATGAAAAATTGCTACCAAACGGGGACATAAGTTGAATATTATATCAATTGGATCCTTGAGAACGTGATAATTATTCGTGAGAGATAAAATAATCATAGTTTCTTTCAAAATGAATAGTACAACAATACCATGAGAGCAGGGTTGATTAATAGAAATATAGAATTGATCTTTCTGTCTCCAATAAACATAATAAAAACTTTTTATTATTGATGTGGTAAGATAACTTTAATTAGAATAGTGTTATTCATAGTGAATGCTATCGTCAATTAATTACGTGGTATACAAATGATAATTTGTACTTAATGTAATTATCGATAATTTTCATTATGAATTGCATTATTCCCTTAATTATGATTTATAAGTGAAGAAAAAAAAATATCCTACTTATTAGGACCGGAGATCAGGCCTAATCTATCAAACCGTCCTCCAAGCCGACATTCTTGTCAAGCCATGCTTCTAGAATCACTTCTCATCCACGTGCCGTATTTTGAAGTTCCCACGTCTGATTTGGTTAGTTATTTATATTCCCATGATTTGTCTTATTCAGTCCATGTCCACTTTTAAGTACATCAGATTTTATTTTATTTTTTTATTTTTATTTATTTATTTATTTTTATTTTTTGAGACAAAAAGTTAGAAAAAAAATTTTAATTTGAAAAAATCTTGTCGGCAGACCGAGTCTGGCAAGTGTCCCACTCCGAAAGCAAGCACAAAAACCGCCTTTCTTCTTCTCCCCACGTAAAAACACTGGCTTGTATTGGATAAGGCTGATATATGAAAGAAGACCGAATAGGAGGAGATAAAAAGTGAAAAATAAAGACAGTAAAAAACTTAAAATTTGACTGGTTGTGTCTCTCAAGTCACCATACATATGACGTTTTGTGAATCATCTATCTTCTTATTTTCTCAATTTTTACAGTTTAATACTCTCTCTTTTTTGGTAAAATTATACTTGGATGTTCATGTTACTGTTCGTTGGGAAGAAGCGTTATGCCTTTAATCACGTGGTTGTCAGTATCGTCAATTAAGTAGGATACCATGTGAACATTAAAGGATTAACTGCCATTTCCTCCGAGGCGATGGAGATCCCATCAAGCCACAAAAGTTACCGTAATGTTGGTAGCCCCATATGAAGCCATGTGATGCAATGGACTTGGACACCACAATATTTGAGGCGTATGCTGCTTTGATCTTGAGGCAATAGAGCACTATTACATGTACAATACATTTGACAGTATGATTGATAGTCCTTTAATATATATGAGATGTGACTCGCAATTAAAATAATCATGAAGTCTATGTGCTGTGAAATGGCTGTATGTTTGTAAAAATGCTATATATACATCATTTGCTCGAGGTGATATGTTGACCCAATCTTAAGATCGTTGCACCCGTATATAGCTAATCCACTCAATTACAAACCTGTCCTTAATAAACTAGAAAATGTACAAGTAGCACTCTAAGAGAGAGAATTTTTTGAGTGTATTTACTACAATATAAAGACAAACTCCATCACTGTTGTCGATGTTGTAGATCCAAGGGCTGGTAGCTCGGACCCACTATTAGGTAAGTAGTCTTTTTATCAATTAATAATTGTTAATTCTACCTCAAAATTGAATGTTTAAATTAAAAGAAAATGAATAAAATCTTATTAAATTATTCATTTATTTTGCTGAGTTATTCTTATTCATTTTCCTTTTAAATCAATTACATCCATCGCTCAAAATAAGTTTAGACATAATTAAATATATAATTATGAAATACTTATCAAGTTGTTATATCATTTACTTTTTAAAAATATGGAGTCTCATTTATGTTTAATTTTTCTTAAAAAAATTGTAACATATTTATAATTTTAAATAACAAAAATAACTTATTATTGGAAAATTTAAAAATAGGGATAATTGCAGAAAAAGCCCCAAAACCGTTGAAATATTAGCAGACTTTCCCCAAAACTTTCATTTGTTGCATCCGTCGCCTCTAACATTTTCAAACGTTGTGTGTGAAGTCCTTTTGGATGATTTTCGTCAAAAATTTCATTAGTTGACCATCAAACTAAACTTTAACCACATTTTAATCAATTTTACAAGAGCAAAATGGTAATTTTTTATTTACCACATTAAATAATTAAAAAACTAAAATAAAAAAGAAAAGAGAAATGGATCTTCTTCTTCTCCCCCGCCCCGCCCCGCCCCATCCCACCCCGCTCCGCTCCGCTTCCCTCAATCTGAAACTAGCTACACTACACACAGCCCATACAACCCCAAGTCGTGAACCAGTGCTGCAACCACCTCCATAACATCCTTCAAAACCAAATACATCTCACCTAATTTTACCCATTCACCACCAGTTAACCACTACATCGTCGACAGCTCCAAGTCAACAAGAAACCACAAAATTCCCACCTTCACTATCATACCACCGTACCCCTTCAATCCACAGATGGTTTCACACCCACCAACTCCATTACACAAACCCGATTCCACACCATAACCCACCAACCTAACCTTGATTCATTTTCCCAAACCCAAATGTTAAATTCATTTCCAAACCCAATTATGAAGCTTTTTGTGCGCCGCCTCTATTTCTCTGAGGTTGTAGTCCTAGCGATGGAAATGTGGTCAATGTGTAGTGGTTATTGCGCGTCTTAAAAAACTAAAATAAAAAAGAAAAGAGAAATGGATCTTCTTCTTCTCCCCCGCCCCGCCCCGCCCCACCCCACCCCACTCCGCTCCGCTTCCCTCAATCTGAAACTTGCTACACTACACACAGCCCATACAATCCCAAGTCGTGAACCAGTGCTGCAACCACCTCCATAACATCCTTCAAAACCAAATACATCTCACCTGATTTTACCCATTCACCACCAGTTAACCACTACGTCGTCGACAGCTCCAAGTCAACAAGAAACCACAAAATTCCCACCCTTCACTATCATACCACCGTACCCCTTCAATCCACAGATGGTTTCACACCCACTAACTCCATTACACAAACCCGATTCCACACCATAACCCATCAACCTAACCTTAATTCATTTTCCCAAACCCAAATGTTAAATTCATTTCCAAACCCAATTATGAAGCTTTTTGTGCGCCGCCTCTATTTCTCTGAGGTTGTAGTCCTAGTGATGGAAATGTGGTCGATGTGTAGTGGTGGATTGCATGTTGTGGATCTATGCAGGAGGTGGTATGGTAGATTTGGACGATAATGGTGAGAGATGGTGATGGCGATTGATTTATTATTGCTGGTTTCAGATTGAAGGGGTGGTGAGAGAAGAAGAAGATCCTTTTTTATTTTTTTGGTTCTTGATTTAAGTTTTTTAATTGTTTAATGTAGTAAATTGAAAATTACCATTTTATCCTTTTAAATTTGATTAAAAGGTGGTCAAAGTTTAATTTGATGGTCAACTAATGAAATTTTTGACAAAAATCATTCAAAAGGGCCTCAGTGCAATGTTTAGAAAGATTAAGAGCGTCAACTGCAACAAATAAAACATTTGGAAAAAAATCTATTAATATTTCATAAATTTGAAACTTCTTCTACATTTATCAAAATTTTACTTTATTCGCTGCAATTATCCCTTAAAAGTAAGGGAAACTTGCAAACCACTCAAATATTTACTTTGTTCCCCGAGCTTCTGCCTTCATCATAGAATCTTATTTATATCTCGTTTGTTTTTCATTCTTTGGCCAGAAAATTAAAAAATATCATTATTATTTATCATATCAAATCACCATATTTAAATTTTTTTTTTTCTGATAACGGCTATATTTTTCATTTTTATTCTTTACCAATTCACCTTACTGGCTCAATCAAACCATTAAGGTGATTCTAACGTCATAATCTCATTTTATCGCAATTTAATTCATCGTTGCATCCCCACGCCGTACCCCGCTCAACGAAAACCTCCTAATCCAGGAATATCCACCATTTTCAACCAAAACCCACCTCGAAAATTATCCTTTCTTCTTCTTTTCTTTGGAAATCACCATTTTTCGTCTGTAATTAAACTGGTTGTAGTTGAATTGATAAAACACAGAGTGGATTTCTGGTTTGTTTTTGCAAAATTATGGCGGAGGATTCTTCCAAACAAGTAATGTATTTGCATGGAGATTTGGATTTGCACGTAATTGAGGCGCGTAGCCTGCCAAACATGGACTCAGTCTCGGAAAATATACGCCGCTGTTTCACAGCCTGCGACGCCTGCGGCGCCACTGACACTAAGGACGGTGGCGGCAGTAGACACCACGAAAGGAAAATTCACCACCACCGGAAAATTATTACCAGTGACCCGTATGTCACTGTTTCGGTACCGCAGGCTACACTCGCCCGCACGCGCGTGCTGCCTAATTCTCAGAATCCTAGATGGAATGAGAAGTTCTATATCCCCTTAGCCCATCCCATGGCGTTTTTAGAGTTCCAAGTTAAGGATAATGATATGCTTGGAGCGGATGCAATAGGAAAAGTCAAAATTCCGGCGGAAAGGATTGCCTCCGGCGCGATCATTTCCGGATGGTTTTCCCTTACTGACTCGTCGGGAAATCCCCCGAAAGCTGATTCGGCGTTGCTACTTGAGATGAAGTTCACTCCCTGTGATGAAAACCCATTGTACAATCACGGCATTGCGGGCGACCCGTCTCACAGAGGGGCTCGAAACACTTATTTCCCATTGCGCAAAGGGTGCTCTGTAACGCTGTACCAGGATGCGCACATTAGTAATGATGTTAAAATGCCTGAGATTAAGTTGGATGATGGATGTGTTCGTGAGCACGCTAAATGTTGGGAGGACATATGCTATGCTATATCAGAGGCACACCACTTGATATACATTGTGGGATGGTCTATTTTTCATAAGATCAAGTTGATTAGGGAGCCCACCCGACCATTGCCACGAGGTGGAGACTTGACGCTTGGTGAATTATTGAAGTATAAATCTCAGGAAGGGGTTCGAGTTCTATTGTTGGTATGGGATGATAGGACGTCCCATGATAAGTTCTTCATTAATAAGGTATGGATTGGTATGATGCTCTTAACGATCCTTGGCGCAACTTTTGTTCTTATTCCTTTTCATGTTCTTGTCCAGCTCTGAATATAGCTAGGTACTTCTTGACTTGATGAAATGTTGTTTCTTTTGGTTTAAGATAATGATTGTTGATTAGACTTTTGAGGAACAAAACTATTTAAATTTGGAAATAATGCTGATGGATGTTTTGTTTCGCAATGTGGGGTGCTGTGAATTAGTCAGTGTCCTATGATTCTCCAGCTGCGCTGGTTTCATTACCTTTGCTTGAGAGTTCCTTTCTTTCATTCTCTCTATTATTTCTATTTCTTTTTCAAATTAAGATTGTGCCCAAAGAAATGTAGCCCAAGGAGAACTAAAACAACAGAAGGGAGATCCAAGAGATGACCCGATGAATGTTATTTTTGTAATTTCTCTTTCTGCTTTATCACTGTTGAAAGAGGATCTGTCTTTGTCGATGCTTCCTTTTCTGGGGGTGTTCTATCTTGCAAGGTGACCCTGTTGAGCAAGCACACCAATGCTCTGACACTATTTTTTTCTTTCGCTGAGAATTCACCCAGGGGATAAATTTACCACTGCTGTAAACTGGATTCTTTTGGCCTTATCTCATTCCAGTGCTCAATAGTTGCTTGAAGGACTGGTCAAAATGGCATTTTGTAAGTGGGCTGGTATTATTTGGTGAATTGAAGTTACCTTTGCATGTATGACAAAGATTGTCTAGCTCTATTGGGAATATATGAAACTTAACTATGAATTAGGTTACTCTTGACTCCTTACTTCATTTATGATATTTTGGATTTCAAATGAAACTAAACTCACATCCATAGCTTATTTTTCTAGCTCACTAAAAGTAAAAAATCAGCATAGAGTAAATGGATGATTCTAACACTGCAACTAACTGCCATGGGAATAAGGTATCGGTAAAATACAATTAATTCTGAAGGTATATGAATACCTGAAGCAGGCCCTTCATCGTCGCAATGAGCTCATGAATACTGAATGTTCCCATTGTACAGTGAGTTGCCTTATTGACAAAATTCACCAGTTACATATCTTTCTTGGTTTGTCATCTACACGTCTAGTCAACTGCTCAACTGAAAAAGAAAAAATCAAGGCCAGGGTGAGAAATGCTATTCAACAAAATGGTCGGAGTGCATATCATGCTAAAAATGTATCTTTAATGGATATTCCTTCTCTCATTTATTTGCAATATACAGAATGATATACTAGGGTTTGTCTGTAAAACTAAAGTTGCAAGTAACACTCTTTGTCTCACAGTTTTGGTGACTCTGGCTGCAGGCAGGAGTAATGAATACCCATGATGAAGAGACCAAGAAGTTCTTTCGGCACTCATCTGTCATATGTGTCTTATCACCACGTTATGCCAGCGGTAAACTTAGCTTTGTGAAACAACAGGTAGGGGTCATGCATTATCAGAATTTGTTTTTTGCCTCTGATTTTGGATTACATTTATGAATGTATCTTGACTTGGTCATGAAATGATTGTTTCCAGATTGTTGGAAGTCTTTTTACGCACCACCAGAAATGTGTTCTTGTCGATACACAAGCCTCTGATAATAATCGAAAGATCACTGCATTTTTAGGCGGTCTTGATCTATGTGATGGCCGTTATGATACACCTGAACACCGTTTATTCCGTGGTCTCGATACTGTATTCATGGATGATTTTCATCAACCAACATTCCCTGTGAGTATTTTATTCTTTCATTTTTATGCCTTGTGCCAATCATTTTGAGCCTTTGATCATACTCATTACAGTTACAAAAAAAGGTCAGATTTTTGAGTGATGCTTAAAATGCATCCACTGGTGCCGTGAGCGTAGACAAACACATATGATCTCTTTCTGCATGTCATGGTTGAAGATTTCATATTATTCTTTTAAAATTATGTTAGGTTTTTCTAATTTATTGCCAATTATATGTTTTGGAGATGAGGACTCTGTAAAAATATGGCAAGACCGTGCATAGTATTGCCTCATTTGATACAAAATTCGTAGCTTGCTGTGATGAATACATGCACTTGCTGGTAGTGAAGAATAGTGGATAGCGATTGGAGTATCAATTATATTTTTGGAGATTCGATGAAGATGATAAGCATCAAAAAGTTAATCAGGCCAAATTAAAGAATATATCAAGAATTCGAGACCATTGTAGAGCTTCATACTCAAATGCTCTAAATCTAGCTGGCCATAGCTCAGTCTTACATTTATGTTAAGGCATATTAAAGTTGTGTATATATGACCTTGTATACATCTTTGTTTACCTCTTGTTTTCATTTCTTCACATATTTCATTTATCAGGCAGGAACCAAGGCTCCAAGACAGCCATGGCATGACTTACACTGCAGAATAGATGGGCCTGCTGCATATGATGTCCTTGTAAACTTTGCTCAACGTTGGAGGAAAACAACAAAGTGGAGAGAATTTAGTTTTTTTAAGAAAAAGATATCTCGTTGGCATGATGATTCTATGATAAAAATTGAGCGGATATCGTGGATACTCAGTCCTGCCTTTTCCGTTGCGAAGGATGGAACCTATACATCTTTTCCACAGGACGATCCTAAGCTTCATGTGTCTAGTGAAGAGAACCCAGGAAATTGGCATGTGCAGGTTGTGTAGTACTTTGTCTTGTTTGTGAATTTGTTAGGTTAAAAATCTTGAATTTCATTTCATCTTGATCCTCTCTCTTTCACAGATATTCCGATCCATTGATTCAGGGTCAGTTAGAGGCTTTCCCAAATACTATGATGTTGCTCAGTCTCAGGTTATAAAAAGCCATTTCTTGCTTCATTTTTCAGATTGCTATGCATGTAAAATTCTATTGGTATGCTTCCAAGTCATAAATGGTGTCAAACTCATGACTCTGGATTTTTCGTGTTAGCATATTACTGCTATCTTTCTTATTTCACAATAACACCTCAATTGTTTTATTCAGAACCTTGTCTACTCCAAGAACCTGGTGATAGACAAAAGCATCCAAATGGCATACATTCAGGCGATAAGATCTGCTCAGCATTTTATCTATATTGAAAATCAATACTTTCTTGGATCATCATATGCTTGGCCAGCATACAAAGATGCAGGTGAAAAATTGCATTTCTTGCTGCGATGACAATAGAAATCTCTGTATATTTAATTTTCCAGGCTAATTGAAATGTGAGTTCTTGATGTTTATATCAGTTCTAAATTGAAATCTATGCATTTAAGCAGTATGCTATTTTGACTAGACATATTTGATTGAGCTCTCCCAATATTACATTTGAAATAGGACCTTATTTTTTAATTCATTTATCTGTATCTGTACTAATTCTTGGTGATAGGTAAGCAAAATTATTTCTTCGTCATGACTAACCTTCTATGTGCTTGATTACCACTTTTTCTTTTCATAGTTTTAATTATCTGAAAACTACTCTTTTTATAAATTTATCAGGGGCTGATCATCTAATCCCAATGGAGTTAGCGCTGAAAATTGCTAGTAAAATAAAAGCCAGGGAGAGATTTGCAGTATATGTTGTTATACCAATGTGGCCTGAGGGCAACCCCAAAGATAATGTTATGCAAGAAATTCTTTTTTGGCAGGTACTACACCTCTGACTACCCTGGAATAGTTGGCAATTTCTTTAAGAGTATTTAAGAGTAGAACTCTAATGAAAAGTGCATGTGCCAAGTAAATAATAATTAGAAATTATTCTAATAGAAATTTGGAATAAGCATAAGATAATTCATACAGGCATTAGGTGTTAGGAAAAGTTAATATTGATGTAATTTTTAAATTTTTGAAACTTTATATTTATTGTTTCAAATTATCTTATTTTATTGCAATGCTGACTTGGTTTTGTGAATTTGTTAAATGTTGATTGCGAGGAATTCAAGCTGGAAACTTTTTCTGCACATATGAATTTATTTTATATAAGCAGAAGAAAAAGCTAGTTTCTCATTTCTTGCAGCACAGCACTGTTACTCCTCATCTTACAGTAGCAACTAGTAATGTGCTAATGTCTTTCGTCTTTATCAATCAGAGATGCTTAATATTAGCATAACATATGCCTGTGGTTCAATCTAAAAATTTAAAGGATGCTTCACTTGGCTTTATTTAAGTGCTTTACCTACTCTGAAAACAAATTTGTAGAGTCATGCAGTGACTAAAGGTATTATGGTTTTGAAGACTTATGATTTTTCCACTATTAACTGCATCCCCACATGTTTATGAAAAACAATTGTCTGCCAATTTATTCTGTCTTCAAATGAAGGATTTTTTTACAAGAGGTGTAGGGTAAAGAAAAGGATTGGGAGATTATGTGACTGAATGGTGTTTGCATTTGACAGTGCCAGACAATGAAGATGATGTATCAAGTGGTTGCACAGGAGCTCAAATCTATGCAACTTGTGGATTCACACCCTCTAGACTATTTGAATTTCTATTGCCTTGGGAACAAAGAAGAAATTCCAGATACAATTGCTCAATCCACAGGAGATGCTGATAAGGTAGTTGTCAAATGCAGACTTATCAATTGCAAACCCATAGGACTGATTTATTATTAATGTTTTGAACCTTGGTATTATTATTGGAATGCCTTCATCCTATTATATCTTACATTATCTATTTATACATATTGTTTGATTCTTCCAACACTATTCGGGGAGAGGGTGGAAAGAGGAGAGAGCAACCTTTTCATCACACCTAGGGGTCTTAGGAATCACAACAGAGAAATGCACCATGTCTCAACAAAGAGCTAAATGTTGCTCCATTCCATTTTTAAAGCTAGCTGAATTCAAGCATGTTTTATCAGACTTCCCAATCAGTATTTTTTTTGTGAATTTGCTTTATCTTGCCTTTTCCACTGGCTTTGAAACAGATCATCTTGTTTCAAGTCAGCCTTCACCTTTTTCTTTATGGATTTTAATTCCACATTAGTGATGTGGCACAGCATCCATCATAATATTTTTCATCGGATGCAGATTTCATGCAAGTTTAATATCCAATCTTCATTCGAGGAAACCAAAACTGAATTAGGTTGCTGTGTGTTATCCATCTCTATCTTCATGTGCAATTTGCGGGTAAATAATGCTATATATAATGGCAGGTTTTGATACGAACTATCTATATTATCCAAATGTAACCCCTCCTCTGTCAACGAAGTTGGAATTGGATTGAATGAATTCATTTATAGTCCTCCTCTCTTTAGATAGAGATCCACCGGTAATCATCTTCCTAATTTACAGCAATTATCTATGAGTTTATATCATCCACATATACAATACAATCATGCCCTACAATTACGCCTATATTCCGTCTTGATTGACATCCTCCTTCAAATTGATGCTGGAAGATCAAGAAGCATCAATTTGCCTACAAGAAATCGCTGGCGCAGTCTTGTCATGGCTTTCGTAAACACGTCAGCAATTTGAAGATCAGTGGAAACATGAGGGAGAGAAATAACACGTGTCCAGAGCTTCCCGAATAGAGTGACAACCTATCTCAATATGCTTTGTACAGTATTGTTAGCAACCTGGATAGCACTAGTGTTATCAGCATGGAGACGAGTAGGACCATTATGAGAAAAGTCAAGCTCTACTAGAAGCCCACGTATCTATACAATCTCAGAACAAGCAGCAGACATAGCACGATATTTTGATTCAGTAGAAGATTTAAAAAGTCGAGCTTATTTTTTGCTCTTCCAAGACATCAAAGATTCTCCAAGAAACATGTATTACCCAGTAACAAACCATCGAGTATCAGGACATCTAGCCCAATCCGCATCACTATAGGCAACCAAACGAAGGGAAGTATCGCTTGGAAATAATAATCCATGGTCCAGAGACCCTCGAAGATATCGAATAATATGATGGACAGCAGCCAAATGTAGATGGAGTGGAGCTTGCATGGATTGGCTGACTTGCTGGACAAAGAAAGAAATGTCCGGACGAGTAATCGTCAAATAGTTTAAACTGCCCACCAACTGTCGATACTAGGTCGGATTGGGTAGTAGATCACCTTCATCACGAAGATATTTCATATTGACCTCTAGTGGAGTATCTGCAGAAAAAGTACCCTAAAGACTGGCTAAGATAATCAAGTCATGTGTGTACTTATGTTGATTTACAAATATGCTGGAATGATCTGAATGAACCTCCAATCCCAAGAAATACGTGAGAAGATCAAGATCCTTCATATGAAAGGAGGAAAATCGAAGCAAGGTAGATCGAAAATTTTCAAACTAAGCTCGAGGAGCCTGTTTCAGTCCATACAGTGATTTCTTTAACTTACAGACCTTCGACGAAGACGAAGTACTCAACCTAGGTGGTAGTGCCATGTAAATCTGCTCTTTGAGATCATCATGAAGAAATACATTTTTAACATCCATTTGATGAAGTGGTCACGCTTGAGACACTATAATAGAAATGATAGTACATACCGTAGTCATTTTAGCAACTAGAGCAAAAGTCTCCTCATAGTCAACCTCAAATTCCTGTTTATTGCTAAGAGCGACCAAGCGTGCCTTATAGTGGTCCAAGTTGCCATTGGAACGGAGCTTGATCAAGTAAACCCACTTACAACCAATAGCTTTAACATTTTTCGGACAAGGAACAATATCTTATGTGTCATTTTCTTAAAGAGCCCGAAGTTTATCTGCCATCGACTTATGCCAGTAGTCATAATTTATAGCCTTTGAATAACAAAAGGGAATCGAAACAGATGATAAAGTAGTATTAAGAGACATATGAGAAAAATCATACTGATTAGGAGGTTGAGAGATTCTAATAGATCAGCAAAGAGCAGTACCCGAATCTGGAGCATCATGTGAAAGAACAGCTTGATTAGACTTAGATGACATATCAAACTTAGGAGGGGGCGAAGGTGGCCGTCGTCGTTCATACACAAATCCAGGTTTGAAGCGCTCAAGAGTGGGAGTAACGGCATGAAAGTAAGGAATATTAGTGATTTTAGGCAAAGATGCAACATGAATAAAAAGAAAGATTGATTTTCAAAGAACCACATGATGAGAAATACGAAGTCTGTGAGATAATGGGTCATAACAAACATAACCTTTATGTGAAATACTATATCCTATAAAAGCGCATTTAACAGATTGAGCAGAAAGCTTATGACGCTCATGAGGTAGCAAAAAGACAAAACAAACACAACTAAAGATATGCATATCACGATAGTTGGGATGTTGATTATATAGATGGAAGTCGGGTGTGTCAAAGTTTAGGACACTAGTGGGCAATTTGTTAATCAAATAAACTGCTATAGACAAGGTGTTAACCCCAAATTTAGGGAGAATGGAGGATTCAAGCAATAATTTACTCGCTACATCTAGTAGATGGCGATTTTTTATGTTCAGCAACACCATTTTGCTAAGGCGTATGAGGTCAAGAATGCTGAGAAATAATTCCTTTATTCCAAAGAAAAGTGCGAAAGTCATGAGACATATATTCGCCACCTGAATCAGATCGTAGAACCTTTATGTGAGAGGAAAATTGAGTCTCAACGTAGGCCACAAATTGTTAAAAGACGGAAAATACCTCAGATTTAGATCGAAGAAAATAAATCCAAATATACTTACTATAATTATCAATATATGTGAAAGTATTTATAGTGAACATGAGAGATAACATGAGAGATTCCCTAGACATCACTAGAATCAAATCAAAACAGTGCTCAGATTGACTATTATTAAATGGAAACGAGAGACTTTTACCCAATTTTACAAGTTGAACAATCAAAAGAAATGGAAGAAATCTAATTTTTATTTCCCAACGCACCAGAATTCAACAAATAAGATAAAACAATCGAGGTAGGATGACCTAAATGTTTATGCCATACTTCACTCTTATTGTTTACAGTAGTGCAAAACAAAGACATAAAACCAGGAATGGAAAAGTGTAGAGGAAACAAACGTCCAACTTTAGGCCCCTTCGTAACTACCTTCCCCAACACTTGATCCTACACAAAACAACCATCACAAAAAAATTGAACATCATAGTTATTATCAACTAACTGCTCAATCGAGATAAGACTAGTAGAAAGTTCAGGGGATATAAAACACATATTTGAATGAAGAATTAATGTCTCCAACTGTTTGAATATGTAATTGGTTACTATTAGCAATCAGAATTTGGGATGACCCATGATATTTTCGAACATTACTAAGAATGTCAGATGAACTAGTCACATGATTATATGCACCAGAGTCAACAAGCCAAGATGAGCTTACCTTGAAGCCCTAAGGCGGAGAAGGTTGAAATAATCATCTGTTCGACCATCTCAGGAGCAAGTGTCGATAAATTACCAGTGGTGGAGGAAGATGTGGAACCAACTATAGCTTGATAGGCATTAGGAACCAACTGTAGCTTGATGGGCATTAGGCTGGCTATTCTGAGGACGAGTAGGACATTCTTTGATAATATGTCCCAACTTCTTGCAATAGTTGCAAGTCTTCTTCACACGGTGAGCTGCAATATGTCCATTTTCTTTGCACCTAAAGCATTGGATTTTTCGCATGTCTCGTCTATTCCTTCTTCCATGAGCAGCATAAGCGCAGATGGTATCAATTATTCTTGCTGGAAAGTGGCTTGCATGGCAAGACGTTGTTCCTTATGAATTAGTTCTCCAAAGCACAATCCAATGATGGTGAAGGATCACGATTCATCAAATTGGAATGAGTACCCTCAAATTCAGCCCGTAATTTTATTAAAAATTGATTTCTTTTAATTTGCTCGTGAACCTTCTGAATAGCAGAGAGAGATTCTTCTGGCACTGGAGCACAAGCCAAATTAGTAAATTTAGCCCATAGGTTTTGGAACTCAGAAAAACAATCCTGTATGGAGAGATCGCCTTAGTGTAACTGGCGATATCATATTCCAACTGAAAGCATTGAGCAGTTTTTTTAGGTTATACACCTTCTTTAAATACTCCCACATAGACTTAGCAATCTTGTACGGCCTCACATTGTGAACAATTTGTTGATCAACAGATCCTAAAATCCACGTCATCACTTTAGCATCTTTGATCTTCCACTGAGCCAGATGGGCTTACTACTTAGATGCTTTCAACGGTTATCCGCTCCACACTTTGCTACCCAGCGTTTATCGATCATATGGGTGCTTGTCCCTATTTTGACTCTTGTATTAGGAAGCACAATAGGTGTACCCGCCAACAGTCAAATAATTTGTAAATCTTTTGAGAGATATTTCTATAATTAGTTTGTTTCTCTACTATTTTTTTATTTCCCCCCTTAGTCTTGCTTTATTTGTATCTATTTCTCATATGATAAGATCGTTTATTTACAACGGAATGGTATACAAAGTCAACAGATCTAACTCTACGATTCATTAGAAAAGGGCATGATAATGACTTTTTTCTGTATAACAGGATTTTTAGTTAGAAGCTTCGCCAGGAGCAAGCAAGATGAGGGCGCTCTGTTTGTAGACAAGGCTCGTCCATCTGTATGACCCCATAACTCTTTTCCCATAACAAACAAGCGAAATTGAAATTCCCAGGCTGAGTAATTCTTTCCTTTGAATTTCACACCAAAAGAGTCGAAACTACTAGTAGCCATTGTAAGGGAATAAGTCTATTAATATGACTCACGCTTAATACACGAGTTCACACCAACAGGTTTAAGATAGTCCAATATCAAGGCCCAACAAAATAGTAGCAAGCTAATTTAAGTATGCCTAATAAGTAGCAAGCCCAATAAATAGAAGCCCAACAGACTATATCAAGCGCAATTAACCCAATCAAATGAATTAATACCAGACAAAACACACCTAACAGGCAATAGAAGTACCTTTGGACCAAACACCAAAACGTCGGCACCATCCAATCCAGTTGCTTCAATTTTTACTGAGGAAGAAAAGCCAACAGCACCTCAAGCGACGACCTCTAGGCTGTCCAGAGAAGTAGTGCCAAAATCTGCCACACGATAACACACACAAGTCCAACAGAGATGCAATTCGCGTCGATGCTTTCTTTAGATATCGACAATTCAACCCAATAGAGATGCGATACCACTAGTGATGTGAACCCAGTTGGCACGGTCACTATTGAATCCACAGGATATTGACACCGGATCCCAAGAAAGCCAAGAACAAGGTTTTGGACTCGATCCACAATATTGGAACCAAGCAACCTAACAAGAACGGCGCTGTGAATGACCTCTTGATTACGCAATACGATTAATTTTACCCGGAATTGTGGATCTGACTCAATAATCACGAACCAAACAACCAACACAGTCACATGAACATGTCGACCTTTTGATTACAAATAATTAATTAAAATCACACCCGTTGTTTTGAATGCCATAAGAACAATTAATTCTTGATAAGTTCAGTATTCAAGAAGAACAAGATAATTTGAAGCAAAAGCTTCTTGAGAGAATTCTCCATTAATTCATCATAAAAAGTCTTGTTTACAATAATGAGAAAATAAGTTTTTTATACTAAATAACCTAGAATAATATTAAAAGGAAATAAATTCTAGGAAACCTAGAAATCTAGGAAAATCGAAAAATGAAGTCCTAAAATATCTAAATTACCAAAAATAAGAAATTGGATCAAAATAAAATTTCTCTAGATCACATCAGACCCTTCCTCTTTGGGAGGATTCGTCCTCGAATCTTGATCCAAGGTATAACTTTTACTTTCAATCAACTCAAGCACATGAAATGTCCCATCACGTCTCGAATGCAATTTGGACCTCTTTTGACCTCGAACTCTCATCTTTTGAACGTAGATCCAATCATCATCACGTAGATCAAAATGTGCTCGCCTCGACTGCTTAATTTTGCAAGTTGGAAATGCTTCGATGAGAACCACACTTGATGAATAATCATGCATCTTCCTTGCTTTACTTAGCCCAAGCACTTGACGCAATGTCACTTCCAATGTATCCATATTGTCCTTCAGTTCATCTTCCTCAATCAACTCCTTGCATATGTAGTTGCTCTAGTGCCTTTGAAACTCCGTCATCTCATCGGGAATCACAAAGTTAATTTTCAAAAGATAAGGTAAATCCAACCGATGTAGTACCAACTGATGTTCAATTTCTGGGACAAGTGGTATTCCAATATAATCATTTTCTAGGAGTGAATCTTTGGTAACCTGCAAAACATAATCAGCAAAGTTGGGGTGGGAAATGTTAGTTTTCTCCAACGCCCCCTCAACTTTACACTCCTCTTCATTTAAGCTCACTTCCAGCTCCTCCTTCTCCAAATACTCTTTTTCATTTTCTTTTTGCAGCTCCACTTCCCCTTCCGAAATTTCACCCTCAACCACTTTTCACTCTTTTGTGGCTTTTCTCCTTTTTTTCTCACAACTAACCACCTCACAATTTTTCTTCTTGCCCTTTCGTTCCTTCCCATGATCAATGTGAGAATTAATCAAGTCCTGAATTTTTGAGAATTCACGCTTATAACCCAATGTACCACTAGCATGCTTCCCAATTGATATTCTACCCTCCAGTGGATACACAACTCCATCACCAAGATTTCTACATCACTCATGCCTATCAATTCTATTTCCCATATCCTCCATTTTCACCAACATCCTCTCAAACTGCCGAATCATCCTTTTAGGCATATTGTTTGGTTCCCAATTGGGATGTGTGGGAATTGTGACTTAAAGACTTAAAAGGATTGAACTGGAAGATTTTGAATGGAATTTTTATAAATTCAAGAAAGTGATTCTTGAATTGGAATTTGATCTGACATGAATGAATTTTTGATTCAAAGAATTAGTTGGTAAATTTTGGGAATTTTTTTTAGGACCCGTACGATGAGCAGTAACGTACGAATGAACAGTAAAAAAATTTTTTTGACTTTTTTTTTTTTTTCAAAACACAAACACAATTAAACTACTCAAGATTCAACAAAAACAAAAACAATGACACGAAGAACACCAAAAAAAGGCGAAAAACAAAAACAAGACTCAACAAAAACAATGAAAAGGGATATAACCTTGATTTTTGAGTCTGTACTCTGATATCAAATGATGCGAACTCGATTAGCACAGTCACTATCGAACCCACAAGGAATTGACACCGAATCCCAATAAAGCCAAGAAAAAGGTTTTGGATTCAATCCACAATATTGGAACCAAGCAACCCAACAAGAACAGCGCTGTAAAGGACCTTTTGATTATGCAACACGATGAATTTCACCCGAAATTGTGGATCTGACTTAATAATCACGAACCAAACAACTAACACAGTCACGTGGACATGCCGACATTTTGATTACAAATAATTAACTGAAATTACACCCGTTGTTTTGAACACCACAAGAACAATTAATTCTTGATGAGTTCAGTGTTCAAGAAGAACAAGATAATTTGACGCAAAAGCTTCTTGAGAGAATTCTCCATTAATTCATCATAAAAAGTTTTGTTTACAATAATGAGAAATAAATTATCAATAGAAAACCTAGAAATCTAGTAAAATCGAAAAGTAGAGTCCTAAAATATCTAAATTACTAAAAATAAGAAATTGGACCAAAATAAAACTTCTCTTGATCACATCAACTAGTCAACCACTGGCGATGTCCAAGAGATTCCTCTCTCCTTTCGCACAGTCTCAAAATTACGCACAGAGGTTGCATTCTTAGCCGGTCAATGAAGCTGTCGACGAGAATTCACAGTGAAGAAAGGAGTCCAAGTAACGATTGACAACTACACCAAAAGGGAGAGCTAGAATCGAAAATTCTTGAAGTTTCAGCGATGAACTCAAGATGTAGGCTCTGATACCATGTCAACAAAGTTGGAATTGGATTGAATGAATTCATTTATAGAGCCCGTTTGGTAACCATTTTATTCAAAATGCATTTTTCTCTCTCTTCTTTTCAACCACACATTCTTTATTAAAATAATATTACACGTAAATCAAATTTTTTTCCTTATTCTTCAACCACACATTTCACATCAATTTACTATTCTAAAATACATTTTTACATAAAAATACCTATCAAACACCCCCATAGTCTTCTTCTTTTTAAATGAGATCCATCGGTAATCATCTTCCTAATCTACAGCAATTATCTATATTCTAGGCTAGTAATCATCTTCCTAATTTACAGCAAATATCTACAAGTTTATATCATCTATATATACAATTGAATCATGCCCTACAATTACGCTTATATTCTGTCTTGATTGACATCCCTCTCCCCCCGGGAGTATTTAATTCATAATGGAACAGCTAGACTGGATTGGCAGTATTATTTCTTCTCCTTACTATTCAATTTTGTACTTCTCCAAATGTCCTTAAAACGGTTGTTTTACATTGGTGGTTTCACATGTAAATATATACATTCTTGAACCATTATATTTTTTTTCTCAAAGACCTGTTGTGGGGATTGTGTCCGTAAAATAATGATGAATTTGGAGTGATATTTCCTGATTACTGTGGGATTATCTTGTGGCATTTTTTAATGATGCCTTGGTAAAAAAATTCTTGAAGTTCCCTCTTAAATTTGATTTGCATTTAGGTTTCAGACTCGCTAAAATTCAAGCGGTTTATGATATATGTGCATGCCAAAGGAATGGTAGTTGATGATGAGTATGTGATGGTAGGATCTGCCAATATAAATCAAAGATCAATGGCTGGCACGAAAGACACAGAGATAGCTATGGGTGCATATCAGCCCCATCGCACTAGGGCAATGAAGCAGCAACCTCCACGAGGCCAGGTTTGATTACTTACTGTAAACTCTTCTTGTAGAATAATGGTATCAAGCACCAGTGATGTTAAAACACTAGTCTTTGTGGCATTGTGTTACAGGTTTATTTAATTTTACATTTCATTTAAAGACTTAGTGCTACCTAAACTGGGGTTGTAATACCCAAGTTGCTAAATAACATTACTTTTACTTCTATGTGGAAATTTCCTCCTCTTTTTTTTCCTTTTTGTGTGCTTCTTTTTGCGTTGGTGGCTGGGTGAGGTGGGGGTGGGAAGTTTGATTTGAGCACCTATCTGTTTATTAGAAAAGGAAGAATTAACATTCGATGGTGGGCTTTTGGTCCTGGCTTTAGAGTTGCATTAGAGGGAGAATAGCGTTTCTACCATTTAGAGGAAGAATAGCGTTTCTACCATTTACTACATTGTACACACCCTGGTTTCCTTATTATCATTTCCGTGTGCAGGTTTATGGATATAGAATGTCTCTATGGGCTGAACACCTAGGGATGGTTGAAAAGTGTTTCGAGGAGCCAGAGACATTGGAGTGCGTAAAGAGAGTAAATGAGGCTGCTGAGGATAATTGGGAGAGGTACACGGCCGAGGAGCTTACCCTATTGCAAGGCCATCTTCTAAAGTATCCCATAGAAGTGGATGCCGATGGTAATGTAGGTCCGTTGCCTGGACATGAAAATTTCCCAGACGTCGGGGGTAAAGTACTCGGTGCTCCTTCCGCTACCATTCCCGATGTTTTAACGACATGATGTCCATTGATTGTGTTGTTGGATTGTTGTAAGAGTTTTGCTATAGTAACACTCAGGGTGACAACTTGGATGACAGAATTGTCACTTGTCAATTTTGTATTGGCAATTTTGTTACCCAGAGTGTCACCCTGGGTGTTTAAGTAGCAAAATTGTTGTTGTAAAAATCTTGTAATGTTCAGAAGAAGTACATGTTTGTTACAGCCTTTGGTAATTTTTAATCGTAAGAAATTTGAATTATTGGGATACATGAATTGATAACTTTTTTAACTTTCTAACCCCATATTCTTAAAAAAGTTCCTTTAAAGGAAATCACTTCTCAAAAAATGAACATCACAAAGGGGGCCGACGTGTTGTTGCTTAACTGCCTGTTACAGTTTCCATATTTCTTTGAGCGTAAATGTCCATTGTACACTGATGGTTGGTTTGGTAAGATCAATCATATAGTATATAAAATCTGGTTTATTATATTGTCTGGAGTATATATTTTAATTCTATACATTGTATTATTCTGGAATATATTAGACACTCAAGATGACAAGCAAAACCATGTAACTTTTGATTCTTTATCTTTTTTAAGTTTAACATATCAAGTACGTCCCGAGGCATACTTGTTTGTATATGCAATGGAAAAAGATGCAAGTACAGGGCCCGTCCTGCTTTACAAGCTCTTGCCAGGTCAAAGAGGAGGTGGGGGCGGGCCTCACCTTTTTTTAATGCGTGTGGAGCCCGAACCCTTTAGTGAGGGGCCTGTGAGGCTCTTGTGAACCGAGCTTCTGTACATGTAGCTCGGTCCATATGCAATTCTCAGTTCTTAGCAAATTAAGTTTTAGCCCCCGTTTGAGCCTCGTTATTTCTCATTACATTAAATTAAAATTTTTTCTCTCATACTTTTAACTACACAATCTTCAATAAAATAATATTACACGTAAATCAAAAACTTTTCAATCACTCATTTTTCAAATAAAACACTATTCAAAACATTATAATGAGAAATAATGGGACTCAAACGGGCTCTTAGTATGAAAGAATTCATACTTCCACTTAACAAATTCATTCAATAGATGTATACCACTTGATACTACAACAAATTTCTTTCAAATGTTCCTTTTTCTTGAGGTTGGTATCATTCCCCTGGTTTCTAAGTAAGTTTTTGCTTCTCTCTCGCTGTCTCTCGACAAAATAAAGTGTTAGAATCTTGTTGATAAGCTAAACTGGCGAGTGTATCCATATATATAAAGTTTGGATCTACTCAACAAGAAAATGCCTCATCTTTCTACATATGTGCTACTTTATTGGCTTCTTGTATAAAAAATATTACATAACCGTGAAGAATAAGAAAAAAATAATTCAAAAATATTTAAAGTAACCGTGGGTAATTCTTGTGCTTTGATGAACATAAGAGACAGAGCATTCTACCAAGAAGGCAGTGGTTTGGCATAAGCTACCCGTTCCTTACTCTCATGGTCACATAACACAAATCCTCACCCTCGTTTATCAAATTTGAACTTTAGCTCATTATTTTTCGATAGACATTATGAATATGAACTAACTTTAATGTTGACAAATACTTTACAATCGTTGCCTTTTAAACGTTCTCATATTTTAGTAAATAATGTGTATCATGTAATATATTGTCATGCAAGCGGGTTGTGACATTGAAAACCATAGAAACTCTCTCTGACTTGTAATTCCGAGGTGTGATAATAAAGAACTCCATTTTTATTCAAACAAATACTTCCAAATTGTGGGTAATATGTTTCCTGTCCACCCTCTATCAATGAGATATTTTTTCGCACATAAGAAAACTAACTTACCGCCCATATGACTTTTTTCGGACGTGTTTAGAATCTTCATGACCATGTCAGCATCGATTACATGAAATTTTAGTTAGAATATGATGCTAAGTGAGACTTCTATAAAAATGAAAGAATGTCAATAAGCTGAGAGAGTTCGAGTAAGAATATGCTCTACACTTTTCAATGATATTGTTAGCCAATAACTATAAAGTGTGGTAGCAATTTTCTACCTCAAAAAATCAATTTTTTGATTGTCATTTCGCTATTCTAGTCGTCATTTTTTATTTCTTCACTCACAGGTGGAATCCAGTTTTCTCTTTAACGGTCAAAAAATCAATTCTCATAATCACTTTCGAACATGCTATATCTCAATGTATAGTTTTATGCATTTGTTAAAGTTTGACCTGGCATATTCTCCATAGGAAAACTTCCAGGTCATGAAAAAAAAAAAAAAAAAAAAACTATCGCTATCTAAATTGGAACTATCAACTCTATTTTGTGAGCTAATGCTATTTGTACGTCCATGGGTACATAATGGTGTATATGTAGATAACATAAAAATATAAATTATAATATTTGAGTTTCTTCTTTCTTGCTCTTCCATATTATTTATCCGTGCACCATTATGTAAATAATGATGTATAAATAGCATTTCTCCTTTTTTTTTTTTTTTTTTTTTAAGGCTTGTGATCATTTTTTTTTTTTTGTTAAAAATTAAACCAAGTCTGCATTCTTGGAGTGGTTTTGCTTGGATCGGTTTTGACTTCAACTCAAAATCAAATTAGTCGACTTGGACGAATTTCAACCCAAACCAATTCATTCTAACTCTTAAATTGAACCAATCAAGCCAAATCAGTATAGTTCGGTTAATTGGTTTCGACTTTTTGTCCAAATTAATTTTAAAAAAATGTTCGAGTTTTGGGTTACAAAAATTAAAATAACTAAATAAATTTATATTACAAGAACTATTGACTAACAAAAAAAAAGATTAATAAAAACGGATCAACAGAAAACTTAAGATTATTTTATTTTATTTTTTTTAATCTAACTTCCTGAATAAGAAAAAAATGTCAAGTATAATATAACGAGCTTGTGAAAGAAAATTCTCAACACTATTACTTATCGGCAATATTATAGATTAAAAGGAATCGATATATAGTTATGAGATTGCGACTTATTTTTTGATTTTTTAAAGAGAAAAGGTAAACACGTAAAATGGTTGGGTTGGTTCGATTAACTAGCAGCCTGCAACTTCAAACAATGATTAAATCGACTCACTATGATTTTGTTCAAAAGATAATCAAATCAAACCACTTGTGTCAAATCGACCCGATTCGGCCCAAGCCTGTTCGATTTAATTGATTTGATTGATTTTTCGATTTTTTTCCAGGCCTATGGGGTGCAAAATTGTTAAAAAGAAGGCTACAGTCGAATAAAATTAAAAATAGTCTTAAAATAACTAACAACTCGTCTACATATATTCACGAATGAAAACGCTTCGTAATTTTTAGGGTTCTTCATTTCAGTTTGGGAAAATGGCAAGCTCCCTCTCTGTCTCTGTCTCTGTATATACAGATTTTCGAATATATAATATCTTGGTTATAAAATAACTAACATTTTTTTGTTCTTTTTTTTGCGAGTTTTTTCAGGCTGATTCTCCTCGCAATAGGTACAAATCCGGATTTAAATCTGTGTTGATTTTATGTTTTATTGTTCTCTAGGGCTAGTATACCTTCCGATCTATAAGATTAAAGGGGTTTTGGGTGCTTGATTAGGTTCGTAAATATGCGTTTAAATTTTGCTTTCTTGTAAGTTTTTCTCACGGTTTTTGGTGTTACACTTGATAGTTGATAGTATAGTATATTTCTCGTGGATAAAAATGATTTTTCGTTATTTTGGCGGTACCGATTTGTGTTTCTTTTGTATTTGGGTCTATGTATTTGTTTTTGGCCCTGAGAGAATTTATTTTTTAGTACGTTGCACTGTAGCTTATGATTCACATGTAAATGCTGCCTTATGAATTATCTTCTGTTTTTATTTTCTAGGATTTTTGGATTGATGAAGATTTGAACTTGGTTGGATCTGACTATGGGTCATAGTTGAATTTTCTATATGTCTAGTCATTTTTAGGTATAGCCATCATGAACTGCATCTTTCCTGGATATTGAATGAAAACTATTGATATCCCCTTCTGGGTGAAGATGTTTGATCTTACTAGACAAATAAAACAGTTTTGTGTGTAGTTATAGTCATTTGTATCTCTAAAAATGTGAATTCGTTAGTGTTTCATTTTTCCACTAGAATGGCCCTATTTAGAAAAACTGGGGGAGGGGATTGATGTTCTGAACAATTGAGAGAATAAGTTTAAATAGATTGTTGAGCATTTCTTCGAGTATTTTAATGCCAGTATCAAATTGCATCCTCTGGTTAACATGGTCCAAGACCACAGAATATATAAGGTCTGAACTTTTGAAACCAACGCAGTATACCTGTAGCTTCATCTCTTTTTATATCCTTTTCCATTGAAGCTTGAGGGATTTATTTGCTAAATTCAAAGTATCAAGGAGGGTAATTGTTTAAACATATGCAGCCAGCTTTGCGGACATAAAGATTGTATAGAAAAAGCTTTTTTGATGATTATTCACGAATTTACTTTAACTTTGGACTGATCATGTCAGGCAATGGCACAACTTATCTTCTAAAACTTACTCTAATTTTATGCAAGTGTGCATCTGGCGAAGCCATCTTTGAAGCTTTTTTATTCTATGTTCATCATTTTCCACTATCAAAAATTTTGAATGAAGGCATTGCCAACTGCCATACGTTAATAGTTTTTCCCCTTGCTTAATTACTGATATACTTTTGACTTTGAGGTGTCTACATATAAAGCTCTTACTTGTAGATACATTTTCATTCCATTCCTATTATTTTTCTGCAATGCCATGGCTAGTATCTTTCTGAGATGATGGTGTGACATTTCAAACTGATCCTTCAATCATAAATTGGACCTTCTCCCTTCGTTGTATCCTAGTAGATATAGTTTTCACTCACACAAACAATTAATTTTGAAATTTTGAACCTTCTCTAACATTTCATCTTGTTGATTATGTATATCAGGTATGCTCGGTCTCCTTCTCCTTTGGATGAAAATGTAAGATCTAGGTCAAGGTCAAAATCTAGATCCAGATCTAGATCATGGTCAAGGCCAAGGGACAGGTCGAGATCAAGGTCAAGGTCAAGGTCAAGATCAATGTCTAGAAATCGTGGCAGGTGATCATAATTTTCTCAATGGTTTTCGCAAGATGCTATTTTTGCTGTAGTAAGAGATTCTTGTAATTTAGGTAAAAAAAATAACCTTGCAACTTGAGATGGCTTTTGTTTATGCTTATTCTTTCCTCTGATTTGTCATGTAGGAGCGAGGTTATTAATGCTGGGGATACACTATATGTTACTGGTCTTTCTATGAGGGTCACTGAAAGAGACCTTGAAGATCATTTCTCAAAGGAAGGAAAGGTTGGCTCCTGGCTAACGATAAATGTGTTTTTGGTGTAAAGCTTTCTTGACAAAATGTGTCTGTGAGATGATTGCTGTTGACATGATTTGTTATAGTTGATAAGTGAAATCAGAAAAGTATCTCCTGTAATATATGTACTCTGTACCAAAAAATGGAATTCTGCCTGGTATCTCAAGTTTTGAGTTCTGCTATTTAAACTTGTCTGGACTTATTTGTAACTTTTTCCCTGATATCCTTTTGTTTCCTCTATTTTCCAGGTGAAATCAGTATTTTTGGTTGTGGAACCACGTTCTCGCGTCTCTCGTGGTTTTGCATTTATATCAATGAACTCTGCTGAGGATGCGAATCGGTGCATCAAGCACCTTAATCAATCAGTTCTTGAAGGTCGATACATAACCGTGGAGAGGGTAAGAAGTTACCTATACACAATGCACAACCAATTTGTTTGTATATCAGTCTTTTTGACCTGGAGATTTTCCGGTTATATTCAGAAGACATTGCATCAGCTATGTTGGCAGCAATCAAAGATGATCAGTCCATCCATTGCAACATTTAATCAAACAGCTTGATCAATGGCCAGCTAAAACAGCTTTTCATTTGCATCTGATCAACTAAATAGCAATTATATGCACAACAAATACAACCTCAGGAAATACTTTCACTTCTCAACTAATCAAGGGTCATTGACAACATTCTAATCAGCCTTCTATGGTATCTCACACTTAGCATTAGTTTTATTGTTTAGCTTGTTTGTTTTGTTTCTTTAAACCGAAAATGGAGTAGATGCTATTGGTCTTTAATTAACTTGCTGCTAAATGATCAGTCCATCCATTGCAACATTTAATCAAACAGCTTGATCAATGGCCAGCTAAATGATCAGTCCAAGAAAGAAATAGATGTGTTTTTTGCTTCTGCTGTTCTACATTTGTGTCATTTGAGATTCTTGGATACACTATTCTGACCAAAAGCATGTATTTTGTATTTGTACATGCTTGTAATTATGCATGTTAGACCTTCCTTTTCCAGATTTTCGATTGAGACCCTTTTTATCTTTCAGTCCAGAAGGAAACGCGCAAGGACTCCTACACCCGGTCACTATCTCGGGCTCAAGAACAGTAGGGGCGATGGTGAGTTCCTGTTGGCTTTTTTGCTGTTGATTTTTAGTCATTTCGAAAGTAATATGTCAAGTAATGAGAAACTAATCAATTGCTTGGGTGAAAGGTTATCGTGGTAGCTCTGGTGGGCATCGTAGAAGTTCTGGCCGTGGTGATGACTTTGGGTACCGGAGGTCTCCTAGGCGCTCCCCTTACAGAGGTGGACGTGAATACTCTCTTAGTCGCTCCCCCTACAGAGGTGAACGTGATTACTCTCCTAGGCGCTCTCCCTACAGAGGTGAACGTTACTACTCTCCTAGGCGTTCACCTTATGGTGGAAGGTCAAGAAGGGACAGATAAGGTCATATTCGCCTTGATGGAATTATTGATGTTGTCGTAGGCAAAGACATTATCGGATTTTAAGCTTTTTCGTTTGAAAGTTTTAAGTCACGTATGAAGACTTGTATGATTATGTTATGGTTTGGACCAAACTGGTGTGGATTCTCCTGTGGTATTATATTATGCATGTTGTTCAGGTATTATTAGTTAAACTTTCATGAATGTGAAAATTTGTCAGTAAAGTGGCTTTGCTGTAATGTTTTGGTGAATGCTTATTATATGATGAGACTGTTCAGTCACAGGGCTTTCCTTTTCGTGTGTGGTGTGTTAAAAATTAATTTATTGTACTGCGTAGTGCTATCCAATATTATCCACACTTAAAATGCCCTTAGAAACTAGTACTTTGAAATTGTATCTAGTCCTAGTTTGGTTCTCATTATTTTCAAAATATATTTTTCTTTTTATTTTCAATCACATATTCTTCAACAAAATAATATTACACGTAAATTTGATTTGATTTTATTATTATTATTATTATTTTTAACTACACATTTTCTATTAAAATACTAATTCAAAATACATTTTGGGGCAGGCAAAAAATGGGGTTAAAACAGGATTCTAATCTTGTTTTTTCTTTGAGTGGGAATAACATGCTTCACATTGTTCTGAAAAATTTGTTGAAGAATTCTTGTGTGTTTCAGAAATCACTCCTAATAAATATTTGAATCGAGGACTGGATTCGAAATCAATGATCTTGACAGTAACGTTACAGTCCCTGCATAATAAAGAAGACATCAATGAAAATCTTATCGTAATAAATGGCATTGAGAATTGATTGGTTCTGACTTGGTCCTATTCAAGTCATATTGTAGTATGCTCAATGTTGTAAAAATTGGACCGGATCGGTTGGTTAAACCGGAAAAGCCACCGAAGTTTGATATGAAACAATGAGGAAGGTGGGGTTTGCATACATGGGCCATGTATCTGTAACAGGTCATAGCAGTTTTTGGGCCATTTAATTTCAATTTAATCTTATTTGTTGATTTTTTTTTTATTTTTTTTTTGTAAATTTATTTTTTTTTTTAATTTTTTTAAAAATCATTGGGTCAATCTTGGTTAGACCTTGGTTCGATCCTTTGAACCAGGTTGATGTCTGGGTCAATTACATTTGAGTATACTTGTACAATTCTGAGTTGCTATTAACAAATATCTGTGTAAGAAGTCTTTCAATTAAGCTATTTATACATAAAGTTTGACGTCCTTGTTGACGGATGGGTGATATGACAAGATTGATGGTTTAATTAAATATGTGAAATGTGAAAGATGGTGTGATGGTGTAAATCGAAATATATATGTAGCAAGATTTAAAGTCTCTATATCAATTTTGTCACGATAGACAACTATTAATTAAGATATGTGAAATGTGAAAGATGGTGTGATGGTGTAAATCGAAATATATATGTAGCAAGATTTAAAGTCTCTATATCAATTTTGTCACGATAGACAACTATTAATTAAGATATGTGAAATGTGAAAGATGGTGTGATGGTGTAAATCGAAATATGTATGTAGCAACATTGAAAGCCTTTATATCAAATTTGTCACGATAGACAACTATTAATTAAGACTTTTTTTTTAGTCAATTTGAAAAATTAACCGAAGTATAAAGCATGCCAACCAACCATATAAAAATAATAGTTACAATTCTATGTACAAAAGATCGAACTGTTAACAAGGAAAAAGTTGAAATCAGTAAAAGTTTCATAATTAACATATTTGTACAATCATGTTTGACAGTTATGATTGACAACATTAGTGTTGTCAAAATTCGGATCGTCGATTTTAAAAATAATTTCTAAAATAGATGATTGTGATGTTGTCAAGTACAAATTATTGACCAAAATTAAGGAAAATTGCAGCAAAAGCCCCAAAATAATTATATCAAAAACCAATAAAATAAATAAATACACTATTCATCTTCCTCAATCCCCACCCCTCCAACCTCCACCTATCCCTAAAACAAAAACCAGAAAATTAGTCTGTGCTGACCACGGTCATCGGCCCAGAGGTGAACGTTACTACTCTCCTAGGCGTTCACCTTATGGTGGAAGGTCAAGAAGGGACAGATAAGGTCATATTCGCCTTGATGGAATTATTGATGTTGTCGTAGGCAAAGACATTATCGGATTTTAAGCTTTTTCGTTTGAAAGTTTTAAGTCACGTATGAAGACTTGTATGATTATGTTATGGTTTGGACCAAACTGGTGTGGATTCTCCTGTGGTATTATATTATGCATGTTGTTCAGGTATTATTAGTTAAACTTTCATGAATGTGAAAATTTGTCAGTAAAGTGGCTTTGCTGTAATGTTTTGGTGAATGCTTATTATATGATGAGACTGTTCAGTCACAGGGCTTTCCTTTTCGTGTGTGGTGTGTTAAAAATTAATTTATTGTACTGCGTAGTGCTATCCAATATTATCCACACTTAAAATGCCCTTAGAAACTAGTACTTTGAAATTGTATCTAGTCCTAGTTTGGTTCTCATTATTTTCAAAATATATTTTTCTTTTTATTTTCAATCACATATTCTTCAACAAAATAATATTACACGTAAATTTGATTTGATTTTATTATTATTATTATTATTTTGAACTACACATTTTCTATTAAAATACTAATTCAAAATACATTTTGGGGCAGGCAAAAAATGGGGTTAAAACAGGATTCTAATCTTGTTTTTTCTTTGAGTGGGAATAACATGCTTCACATTGTTCTGAAAAATTTGTTGAAGAATTCTTGTGTGTTTCAGAAATCACTCCTAATAAATATTTGAATCGAGGACTGGATTCGAAATCAATGATCTTGACAGTAACGTTACAGTCCCTGCATAATAAAGAAGACATCAATGAAAATCTTATCGTAATAAATGGCATTGAGAATTGATTGGTTCTGACTTGGTCCTATTCAAGTCATATTGTAGTATGCTCAATGTTGTAAAAATTGGACCGGATCGGTTGGTTAAACCGGAAAAGCCACCGAAGTTTGATATGAAACAATGAGGAAGGTGGGGTTTGCATACATGGGCCATGTATCTGTAACAGGTCATAGCAGTTTTTGGGCCATTTAATTTCAATTTAATCTTATTTGTTGATTTTTTTTTTATTTTTTTTTTGTAAATTTATTTTTTTTTTTAATTTTTTTAAAAATCATTGGGTCAATCTTGGTTAGACCTTGGTTCGATCCTTTGAACCAGGTTGATGTCTGGGTCAATTACATTTGAGTATACTTGTACAATTCTGAGTTGCTATTAACAAATATCTGTGTAAGAAGTCTTTCAATTAAGCTATTTATACATAAAGTTTGACGTCCTTGTTGACGGATGGGTGATATGACAAGATTGATGGTTTAATTAAATATGTGAAATGTGAAAGATGGTGTAAATCGAAATATATATGTAGCAAGATTTAAAGTCTCTATATCAATTTTGTCACGATAGACAACTATTAATTAAGATATGTGAAATGTGAAAGATGGTGTGATGGTGTAAATCGAAATATGTATGTAGCAACATTGAAAGCCTTTATATCAAATTTGTCACGATAGACAACTATTAATTAAGACTTTTTTTTTAGTCAATTTGAAAAATTAACCGAAGTATAAAGCATGCCAACCAACCATATAAAAATAATAGTTACAATTCTATGTACAAAAGATCGAACTGTTAACAAGGAAAAAGTTGAAATCAGTAAAAGTTTCATAATTAACATATTTGTACAATCATGTTTGACAGTTATGATTGACAACATTAGTGTTGTCAAAATTCGGATCGTCGATTTTAAAAATAATTTCTAAAATAGATGATTGTGATGTTGTCAAGTACAAATTATTGACCAAAATTAAGGAAAATTGCAGCAAAAGCCCCAAAATAATTATATCAAAAACCAATAAAATAAATAAATACACTATTCATCTTCCTCAATCCCCACCCCTCCAACCTCCACCTATCCCTAAAACAAAAACCAGAAAATTAGTCTGTGCTGACCACGGTCATCGGCCTAGACATCGCACCAGCCATTGACCTATTATATATATACACACACACACCCACACACACCAAAATAGTCAACTTTTAGCTTTTCAGTTACAAAAATGTCACATTTTTTGAGCCATTGCAAAAATGTCAATTTTGGTCTTTTTGTTTGCCCCCCTAAGTAATCTCAATCCCTTCTACGTCCTTAATTAAGTATGACATAACTAGACTCCAAATTGTACAAAAGATTTGTGAAATGTCAGGTACTAACATTGATGGAAATTGAAAGGAAAAAAAAAAGAAAAAAAAACAAACAAAATCAATAAGGAAGTTCAAACGACGAAACCAAATGAAGAAGAAGAAACTAGTCTTGGAACACATTTCCCTCTCTCGCACTTTTCGTTCTTTTACTGCCGACGAAGACCGAAAACACTCCCCTCTGTCGTACGAACCGGCGAAAGGCGAGACCCCCTTCTGGTATTCGAATCATCCAACACCCAGCAGTGGACGATCGCTGTCAATCGCTCCACCGGTCCTAGTTTGGTTCTCATTATTTTCAAAATATATTTTTCTTTTTATTTTCAATCACATATTCTTCAACAAAATAATATTACACGTAAATTTGATTTGATTTTATTATTATTATTATTATTTTGAACTACACATTTTCTATTAAAATACTAATTCAAAATACATTTTGGGGCAGGCAAAAAATGGGGTTAAAACAGGATTCTAATCTTGTTTTTTCTTTGAGTGGGAATAACATGCTTCACATTGTTCTGAAAAATTTGTTGAAGAATTCTTGTGTGTTTCAGAAATCACTCCTAATAAATATTTGAATCGAGGACTGGATTCGAAATCAATGATCTTGACAGTAACGTTACAGTCCCTGCATAATAAAGAAGACATCAATGAAAATCTTATCGTAATAAATGGCATTGAGAATTGATTGGTTCTGACTTGGTCCTATTCAAGTCATATTGTAGTATGCTCAATGTTGTAAAAATTGGACCGGATCGGTTGGTTAAACCGGAAAAGCCACCGAAGTTTGATATGAAACAATGAGGAAGGTGGGGTTTGCATACATGGGCCATGTATCTGTAACAGGTCATAGCAGTTTTTGGGCCATTTAATTTCAATTTAATCTTATTTGTTGATTTTTTTTTTATTTTTTTTTTGTAAATTTATTTTTTTTGTAAATTTTTTTAAAAATCATTGGGTCAATCTTGGTTAGACCTTGGTTCGATCCTTTGAACCAGGTTGATGTCTGGGTCAATTACATTTGAGTATACTTGTACAATTCTGAGTTGCTATTAACAAATATCTGTGTAAGAAGTCTTTCAATTAAGCTATTTATACATAAAGTTTGACGTCCTTGTTGACGGATGGGTGATATGACAAGATTGATGGTTTAATTAAATATGTGAAATGTGAAAGATGGTGTAAATCGAAATATATATGTAGCAAGATTTAAAGTCTCTATATCAATTTTGTCACGATAGACAACTATTAATTAAGATATGTGAAATGTGAAAGATGGTGTGATGGTGTAAATCGAAATATGTATGTAGCAACATTGAAAGCCTTTATATCAAATTTGTCACGATAGACAACTATTAATTAAGATATGTGAAATGTGAAAGATGGTGTGATGGTGTAAATCGAAATATGTATGTAGCAACATTGAAAGCCTTTATATCAAATTTGTCACGATAGACAACTATTAATTAAGACTTTTTTTTTAGTCAATTTGAAAAATTAACCGAAGTATAAAGCATGCCAACCAACCATATAAAAATAATAGTTACAATTCTATGTACAAAAGATCGAACTGTTAACAAGGAAAAAGTTGAAATCAGTAAAAGTTTCATAATTAACATATTTGTACAATCATGTTTGACAGTTATGATTGACAACATTAGTGTTGTCAAAATTCGGATCGTCGATTTTAAAAATAATTTCTAAAATAGATGATTGTGATGTTGTCAAGTACAAATTATTGACCAAAATTAAGGAAAATTGCAGCAAAAGCCCCAAAATAATTATATCAAAAACCAATAAAATAAATAAATACACTATTCATCTTCCTCAATCGCCACCCCTCCAACCTCCACCTATCCCTAAAACAAAAACCAGAAAATTAGTCTGTGCTGACCACGGTCATCGGCCTAGACATCGCACCAGCCATTGACCTATTATATATATACACACACACACCCACACACACCAAAATAGTCAACTTTTAGCTTTTCAGTTACAAAAATGTCACATTTTTTGAGCCATTGCAAAAATGTCAATTTTGGTCTTTTTGTTTGCCCCCCTAAGTAATCTCAATCCCTTCTACGTCCTTAATTAAGTATGACATAACTAGACTCCAAATTGTACAAAAGATTTGTGAAATGTCAGGTACTAACATTGATGGAAATTGAAAGGAAAAAAAAAAGAAAAAAAAACAAACAAAATCAATAAGGAAGTTCAAACGACGAAACCAAATGAAGAAGAAGAAACTAGTCTTGGAACACATTTCCCTCTCTCGCACTTTTCGTTCTTTTACTGCCGACGAAGACCGAAAACACTCCCCTCTGTCGTACGAACCGGCGAAAGGCGAGACCCCCTTCTGGTATTCGAATCATCCAACACCCAGCAGTGGACGATCGCTGTCAATCGCTCCACCGTCGATGAAGACGTCACTAATTTATTCAGGTTGATGTTTTCTTCATTTGTTGCTTTTTTTCCTGAAGAAGAGGAAATGTGCATACGTTCTTTGTACAACGTCGCCGACGAAGCCACATTTGGGCAAAAGTTTTGAGATTTTTAATTTATTTTATAATATTTATGTTTTTTTTTTTTTTGTCAATGCACGACACACTTTTTTTTTATTATATATATATATATATTTTTAACGGAAGTTGCCATCCATTTTTTCTAGGTAAATTTTTATGTTCCATATTTTGGCATATATTTGATGGTTAATGTTTTGAAAATGTCGGGGCTTACGCCTCCTGTGAGCTCAAAGCTAATTGTTTGAGTAGTCAAGGTTTATATCTTGAATTACTGAGCATAAGCCTGAAGATGGGTAATCTTTTTTTGCTCTTTCTAGGCTGTATTTTTACTAGCCTTGACCTTTTGGGTTGGTTTTATGATCCATATAATTTTACTCTTATTTCCATTCGTATATATTTTTTCTTCCTTTTTTTGTATTTTTTTGTTTCATTCGTCGGTATTTACTTTCCTTTGAATTCGAAGTAAACATAAATCTTTAGCAGTTTTTGGGCCATTTAATTTCAATTTAATCTTATTTGTTGATTTTTTTTTTATTTTTTTTTTGTAAATTTATTTTTTTTGTAAATTTTTTTAAAAATCATTGGGTCAATCTTGG